ATGAATCACATTGAAGCAGATTTTTTAAAATAATGTTTTTTAAATTTTCAATACTGCGTTATTTTACTTTTCAAACTAAAGATCATAAATCTTTAGTAAACGAAGAAATATATTTTATTTTAACTTTTGAATTCAGTTAGGTATATACGAGTAGTTAATTTTTAATTTCGAGATATTTGAGTATCCAATACCTAGGTCACAGCAGTAACACAGAGTTAATTTATATAAATATAATATGCACGCGCGCGCGCGCACTTGTGTGGGCATCCACGTGTGTAGGTGTGGGTGTGTGGGTATTTATAGGTGTTATGTATTCAAATTACACATGACGTTAATTAAATTGAATGCTCGATCCTGGTAAGGTTTAATTACAAATATGTTTTAAAATGAGCAAAAAAAATGAGTTAATAATATTATAATGTCTAGTTATTTTCATAAGCTCGGATTTAGGGGAGACAACCCTGTTGGTTGTGTTACATTATAATTCATTTTATTCATATGTACGCATAGCATATTACAACAAACCATGTAACATGTTTACGTTGGTTGCCAAAAAAAGTAACAATAATACACACTTTCCATAAAACTTTGACCAACCACACGTCCGCAATATTACAATTTATTTATCTAGAAACACACACCCGATTATTAAAAACAATAAAAATATCACAACATTTGTAATACACGTCATTGTCCACGATTACACTCATTATGACGAGAAATAGCGTCACAACGGCAGCGATAACTGCTACTGCAGCTACCGTCACGTCTTGTATCCGCACCACACCAAAAGCGAGCTTGTCTATACGTTTACTTCGAATTTGGTGGTTAGATATTAGGATATAATAGGTACTATTCGCGTAAGACACGAATTTCATTTTTTCTCTATTATATATTTAGTAAAAAGCATCGAATTCAACACTGTTTTTAGCTTACATCATCAAATGAATAGCAAAAAAAATATATTTATATATATATATATATATAGGTTCCTATACACATATTATTAATCCACCTCTTACAATAACGTGTTTAGAAAAATGTATAATTTTTGACTGGGATTTATCGTATGGTGAAAATGTTAACTGATTTCTCCTGTGTTCTATTCATCGAGGTTAAATATGTGTAGTGCACTATAATGAATGAGGGTTGTTGAGTATTTGTCGGCCATATTTGGGACAGTCGATTACTATACTTAATTTTAATAATATGCTCTATTGTTAGACCATATTGTTCGAGTGACGAATACTTCCTCATATACGAATTATTGGGTAAAAATCACGAGATGTATAATAATAATTTAATTCATAGCTATGCTAACTATACAACGAATGTCACCACAATAATAATGATAAAATCACAATCATCATAACTCATAATACTTACTAGGTATACACGCAGTCTCCTTTAAAAACAAAACTCGTCAGTTAAGGTTTCGAGTACGGGGGACATAATAAAAGTATGGCACACGTACAGTAATGAAGTAAAAAGGTGTATGACAGTTACTATGGCATATAGTGGGTAGGTAACCTACGTGTAGTGTATATTTATCGACTGTGAGCTCTGGTCGCAATGCGACGATGACATAAGAGTCGTCATAGCGTTTGGGTTTCTAGACTCCAGTAGTCTATTGGTATATAGTCAATGACTATTAGTAAAATCGTATTCACTACTAGTCGCATCCATTATGATCCTTTCCCAGTGGCGTCAACCAAGGGATGAGGGGTAAAACATGATATCGATATTTAAAAAAAAATCGAATTAATAGATTACTTATAATAATACATTTTAAACTAAAAATATTTCTAACACATAGTCGGCTAGACGAAAACTGAAGTGCCACAGTGAAGTTTGAGAACAAGTAGGTATATGCATCAATGGTGGTCAGCTATAAATATTTTATTATCTGTCATCCGGAAAAAAATTTCTGGACACACCCTCCAGACAAGTGAAAGCGGTTCTCTACGTTTACAGTCGAAACCCGTGAGCTTGTTCTTAACAATGTTGCACAGTTATGTGGAACAGAATAGAATTTTTTCAATCGGAACTTTTGGAACTCAGAATCATTTTACTCAAGCAGTATCGGAATTACTCGGAATCATATTAATATTCAGAACATAGATATTTAGAAGTATCGTATCGAACGCATTTATTAGGACGATTGATTTTTTTTCTATAGTTATGGTTGTTTTTGTTATATTATTATATTTTCCGCGTGTACTACGTGGGTATATATTGTTGCAACAGTTAATTTACTCTAAAGTAAAATACAAATTAGTTAATGTTCTTGTAACAATTTAGTATGTACAACAAACCAAAATTATGTTCGCATTACAAGTAATAGCCAATAAGTACATGGTAAACAGAAAAAAGTTAGATTATATCTAAGGCACTGAGTGCTTTGAAAATTACGCATACCTATACCTTCGAATAGCGCTTCAAACCCATAAAACATTTTGCCAGTATGCAATTTTTCGTTCGTTTGTAAATAAAAAGTTGTTTAAAATGTTATTCGTTTCAATGGGATGGTGTATATCTATGGTCATATGATGATATGTATAAAAGTTAACTCCAGTGCTAACAACAAGGATTTAATTTTTATAAGGTTTTTATATTCTCCCCCCCCCCTACATCCCTTTCAGAAATCCTGGCTACGCTACTGAGTACAGCAGTATCTGCAGACGTACAACCTGAGTCCTAAGATAAACTGAACTGATCGTACATTAACCAGTCCAGCTCATCTTGGCACTCATCAACCAACAAATAAAAAAAATGGTTCAAAAACTATATTTTTTAAATATATTATAATATTATAGTTAAAAGAGTTAATGATCGATTTTTCAAATACAGGGAGAATAGCAATTACAATAGTAAAAAATTCAAGAACTAGTAATAATTAAACAGCTTCGTTATACATTTAAAATATTTATTAAATCCATACAAAAATTGTGGAAAAAATCTTGGTCTCTAATTCCGATAACCTGACCATATACGTAGGCACATCGAGATACAACATTCATTAGGCATAATGGCTCATTTTAACCATAATTCGCAGCGAATCAATGTACTTGAAAAGAAGCAGAATGGCGAGGTGGAGCCTTGGAGGATTTTTGGAAGGAAAGTTAGAAGAACCAGTAAGCCCTGTCAGCAGCTTCTGCAAAAACTTTAAATTAGCTGTATTAATTCGATCGACCAACGAGTGAAGCCCGAGAGTTGCTCAAGAACGAATGTGTAGTATATTTAAGTTGAACTCGCTCAAATATAGCTGAGTTATTAGCAATAAGAATATTCCATATAACTGAACCGTACTCGAGAATTGTCCTCCGTTAGAGAGATTAAGTAGCCAACCCAAACTGAGCCAAACACATTTGATGAAACCTACCTATATGATTTTGAGGGAGGGCTACGTAAGATTAGATAGTCAGATAGAATTGATAATTGATATGCTTATTAGCCGACTTAAGGTGTGCAGACTGAACGCAAAGCCTAAGTCAGTCACAGATTTTTCGATAATCGAGATTGAAGTTTCGCCTAAATAAAAAAAATTATGCAGACCGGTATATATATGTCATAGTGGAACAACATTTAGAAAATATTTGATTCTTCAAAATAATATATTTTTCAAACCATTAGTTTAAAAAAAACCCCTAACCGTCACCGAGTGCCAAGATGAACTCTAGACGAGTTATAATAGAATTGAATATGTTATTATTAAGTTCAGTGGCCGTCGCCGATGTTTTGCAGAACAACGTGTTGCGCCATGTGAAATTGGACGCTCAATGCCGTACGATAATACGACGTTATTATGTAAGTACGGTGTTGCGTGCAAAAGCTCTGTGAAAACTCTAACGGTGAGATTTTATCTTGGATATACATTGTCGTTGGCTGGTATTATAGGTACCTAAGTAGGAGGTGATTTATACCGACCGTGTGGGTGTGACCCGCGGGGAACAACCGCTAAAAGAGCAAACAACATATTATATTATATGTGTGCATAATACCTACGCTTATTAATATATATATATGTGATAATCGCGAGTCTGAGGACGAACACAAGCAGGTCGCGCGATGTGGGTGGTGGGTGGGAGCGGGTTTGCTCTCCCGAGCAAAGGACGAATAAGGAAGAAGAAAGCGGGTGTGTGGGTGCGTTGGCCGCAAAGTGCTGAACCGTGTGTTTGGTAGACGCGAACGGTATATAACCGCGGATCGGTGTGGCATGGAGTGGCGCATGACGCGTGCACGAACCAAAGTTGAAGTCACGCGTCCAACTTTCGCGTGCCAGAGAGCTTTATACGTAGGTATATGTCTCAGACGGTACCACACACACGATGGCGAAATCGTCTCTTGCCCCCTCGCCACCATGCACGCCACCACTCACGCACGGTGTAGTTACGTAGTACACGTAAGCAAGTGCACCTCCGGTCGATGTGTTAGACGTAGCGGCGACCGCAAAGACGTATACGGCGTGCCGACTCCACCCCGCCCCACCCCGCACACGAATTTATAACAATACAGTAACTATAAGCTCGCTTGATGGCTTCGGCGGCCGTAGACTTTCATACAACGTATACGTAGGTAGTTATAATAATGTATAACTTTATAATATTATTAAAACCAATAGTCCAGGAAGGAGGTACACCTAGTAATTTTATATCCAGCGCTAGAATTAGAAAAACAATTGAAGGAGGATGCAAGACCAAGAGAAAAATAAAAAACCGAAGATTTCAATGTCGGGTTGCATGTATTGCAAATGTCAATCATTTAACAAATCAATGTAATGAACTAGTGCTTGAACATCATTTAGTGGTTCATGATTGTATTGAATCACTAAACTACCCACCAAATCAAATTTAATTCCAACCCAACATTAGGATATAATATTAGAAGGTGCACTCTGAAATATTTTTTTTTTAAAGAAGAGCTTTTTCGTCACCTCCAAGTCATCTAACCCGTGAGTTCAAGCAGCACTTATATACCTTAATACCGAAAATCGCACTTACTTGATGATAATGCCGGCATGACCATGCCGGCACCACCGGGACGTTGCTGATGTTGCTGTTGCTGTTGTTGCTGTTGCCTTTGCCGCTGCTGCTGTTGCTGTTGTTGCTGCTGTTGCTGCTGTTGTTGCTGCTGAAGTTGTAGTTGTTGTTGTTGTTGCTGCTGCTGTTGCTGCTGCTGTTGATGGGGCGATGACTGAGACAATGGCCTTCCACTACTGGTATTGGCACTGTTGTACAAAGGCGCCGGTGGCTGTTGACGGTAAAAGGACGGTTGTGACTGCGGTTGCTGCTGCTGCAGTCTAGTCTGTGGCTGCTGCGAAGGTTGTCTGGGGAGTTGTTGTGGTTGTGGTTGCTGAAGTGGCTGCTGCGGGTACCCACCACCAGCCATGCTACGCTGTTGCTGCTGTTGCGGCGCTTGCTGCTGATTCATGCCGTACTGCCTGGCCGCGGTGGACGCACCTCCAGGTCGTCCACCGCCATAATCTTGCTGCTGTTGAAACTGCTGCTGGTGCGGTTGTTGACGGTTGACCGCGCTCTGCGGCTGCTGCGGATCGGTGCCCGTGACCATGTCATCGCCCGCCGCCATCAGGCTGTTGATCATCTTACTGGCAAAGTTGAACATGTTTGCCGTGTGCGGCGGCGGCAACGGCTATTTCGTACAACGTGGCGGTTACTACCGCCAATGGCGGTGCCACCGCCTCGCGTTCACGAGTTCGTACCTCGTCGTCGTGGTCGTGGTTGTTCGTGGTCACGGTTGCGTGTGGTACACAGGCACTGCAGGCCGATTCACTGGCGAAGACGTGTGTTAATAAAGACGGCTGTAGTGTGATATAGACCGTAGACAAGTTAATGGCAAATCACGATGGAATGCGTGCGAGACGATAAAATTTAAAGCACGAGCTCGAAATTAAAGTCGTTTTACAGAGCTACAATCGCCCGGTAAGTATAAAATAATTATGTTATACACCGACAATAATAATAATAATAATAATAATAAAAATAAAAATTACTGTATATGCTCGTTTTGGTGGTCGTCAGAGTACAGACCGTTATCGTTATCGTTATACGGTCGGTGGCGATCGAGTGTCGAGAGAACGACCGGCGCACACCCCGAACGAACGATCGCACACACGAGCGTACACACCCAGGACGAACACACACGCGCGGCAGCGGGGGCGCGGCGTGAATGACGTCGACCGTGTTCGGTGCTTGTCGGCGGGTTCGTCGGCGGCAAAGGCGTTCGGCGGCGGTCGGTCTGCGCCGTCGGCGTGCCAAGACAACCATCAAAACCTACCCTTTGGTACTGGCGGCGGCGTCAAGCGGCAGCGCGAGCGGTCTCCGAGTCCTCGCGCGCCCCGCGTCTACATCGCTGCCGCCGCCGCATTACACGGCATGCCGCGCGCGCGCCTGACCGTCTGACCGCCACCGCCAACAATCGATACCACCCCCTCTCCCGTCACCATATTATACTCCTCCGCCTAAAAACAAAACAAAAAAATGCCCATCCCTCTACACACAATGATAGGGGGCAAGTGGAGGAGGGGACGGTGTTCCGGTACGTGGGTGAATGGGTGTGTGTGTGTGTGTGTGTGTGTGTGTGTGTGTGTGTGTGTGTGTGTGTGTGTGTGTGTGTGTGTGTGTGTTCTTAGTTTAGAGACGGCGTTAAGGATATGATCGCGTGGTTATTACCGCCGTCGTATCCATGTCATTTGCACCGCGGGAAATGAGGATGCTTGGTAAAATGTATTCCACGGAAACTGAAGAAAAATAAATTATGTATTATTATTTATTAACAAGCGTTATTCGCAGCTATCATGATATAACTGTCTGGATATACGTGTTTGTATTTTTTTAAATATTTTATTCGTCTCGGCTTAACAATTCAATAAAATATATTTACTTAGAGTAAATTATAATCATTTATAATAGTTGATACGTATTTACCAATTGAATAAGGCACCAAAACTCAATGACAATTAGATACGTCCAAATTTACTATTTTTCAGGAGACATAAAAAACATTGTTTTTTTTATGTGACCATATTATTATGTATACTTAAAAATGTTGAATTATTTTATTGGTTGATACTTGATATATTTAATAATAATAATAATAATAATAAACACAACAATAATTATCATAGTCCATAATAATGTTAATAATTAAAAATCTATTTTAGGTTCGACGAACGTCCAAAACATATCTGGTTATTGCACCGAATATGTTATAATAAATTAATGAAGAAAACAAATTTGATATTTTGTGATGATAAATTTTTAATAATATGATAAATGATAATATGGCGAGTACACGGTGACACTGATTATACTAAGCGAATATATTTAACTAATCTCGTATATTCGTACCTATACTCGTATCTGATATACGGAATTCCTATAGACCAAATAGTTATAGTATATAATTTGTTTTTATAATTAAATTACTACGTACCTATAGACAATTTATATAATGGCATAATTTATAAATATACAGGTATAAATTCTGATTATAATAATTATTAATGATGTATGTTGTCTTAAATTAACATACATTTTATTATTATTGAGTTTTAAATATTTATATGTGCCTATAATCTGTATAATATTGTTTAAATTTCATATCAATATTCATTATCATAGAGTTCGTTTATTATTTTACGGATTGGGTTTTCTACGCATGGTTTTCATTTATATCATTACAATAGTATCAGAGGTGTATGAATGAATTTTGCTAAAGCCCTTTATTAGAACCTTTTCATAATTCTCCAAATATTATTAAATAATGAATTTGCCTTAAATATATAATATAATATTATGTAGGTAATCATATAACAGTAAATGTTATTTTTTTTAACCAATTTCTCGGTTGATGGAAAAATTACAGCAGAAATACCTATTATAATATCATATTATATTATGTTCGCTGCAGCCATGGAGGTGGAATATTCTAGAGATACTAAGCTGCAGAACGAATATGGCTAGGTACCGTCGTAATATTATGTACTTATTGTACTTATCTATTTCAGAAAGAGGCACTGAATATAATTTAAACTAGTAATAGTTTATACTATTTAATCATTCGTTCCTGAGGTCACACGCTTAATCAATACGGATAATCTTAAATATAAGTTGACATTATAATTCATTGTTTTTTACATTTAGAACAATTTTTATTTTAAATCTAATTTTTGTTTTTAAACATGACGTTTATAATAATAAAACTAATCAAAAAATATAAACCAAAATGTACTATTATTATCATCAATCACATACATAACACACGAACATAAAAAAATAACAAGGTAGGTAATAAGTGTCGTAACTCTGATATGTACGGGTAGCCTATATATTTCTATTGATATTTTAAAATTTATTTATATTAGTATATTAAATATACCTGAGTAATAAATTTATTTTAGAAATTAGTATTACGCGTTATATTTTTAAGTAATTACTATCAAAAACATCGTAGACCTATACTATCTAGTTATTATACGACTGTTATTATTATTGTAATTAATTTATAAGTTATAAGTTAATATCGACACGTAGATAATAGAACTTACCGTGTAAATAGGATCGCATCAGTGGCGTACCCGGGAGTGGCTAAGAGAGCTTCAGCCATTGGTCGTGTTATGGAATAAATCTTGTTTAAACGTACGTTTTCAACACTGAAACGATTAAAAATGTATCTACGGTGAACCATGTCGGAAGTAACGACTCAATGGATTAGCTTTGACCAATATTAATAAAAAAGAACTACTCAGTGAGGTTGAAATAATCAAATTATTTTCCAAAAAGCACCCAGAAGGATGCAATTAGAAGGCTGGAGCAAATAATGAAAAAAATAAATGTATTTTGAAGTTATATAAAAAAAATAATTTATAATTTATTGTATAACATATTTTGTATTATAAATCAGTTCCTATTTCCTACTATCTAAATATATCACTATATCAGGAATGTATTATATATATATGTTATAAAAAGTATGTATAGTAATAAAATATTACAATTAACTACTATAAGACTTAATTGAAACTAGTTTGTTAACATGTCAAATTTTGATTTTTTTTTTGTTTAGCAAACTCCCCCCCCCCTCCCCTATGCAACTAGTTTGCATACTCAATATACATAGCAGTGAAAATTACATTGTGTAGAAAAAAAATTATAATTTACAGTAATATCCATAAGTTTCATAAACTAAAGACTAATAATTTTTGAATCAGGTACGACAAAATTGAGTTAGGTACCTAAAGAAAGTTTGTTGTTTTGATTTAAAATTGAAATATCTAGTTTTGGCAAATTTTAAACATAAATTTCCAGTGATGATGTAGACATAATTTTTTCTTTGGGAGGAGTGAGTGTTATTTAAATTTCATAATGGCAGGTATATATTAAAAATGTCTATAAATATCTTGAAAAGTGCTAAAATATTTTGAAAATAATATAATTCCTAAAAAAAAAATACAAATAATTATTTGATGAAAAATTTAAGAATCTGTAGGGATTTGTAATTTTTAAAAGACGTTTATTTTAAAAATTGGTTTTGTCAAAAACTGCAGTTAATGTGTAAAGATTTCCGCATTTTTTGTTTCAGTTATTCTCGACAACTTCATTTCTATGTATATTTTACTTAACAATCAACTAGATCCAATTTCCTACCAAAATGTACACGCAACCAGAATTTACACTTTAAGTTGAAGGTTGAAATATATTTTGAAAAAAAAATGTAGAACCATCATTTCAGCTTAGAGTCTGAAATATAATTAAAAAAACAAAACAATATTTTTACTTTATTAATTAAAAATGTTATTATTTTACTCCACCTTGTAAACTCTGTCAACTAATTATTTATTTCATAGAATATGATCAATTATTCCGAAAATAATAATTGAAATTATATGAGTATATTGCACTATTATACATACTGAGAAACAATTATAAAGGTATGTATATAGAAATATATAAATTTATTAACATAAATAAATACGGTATAATACATTTCAATTAATATTAAATTAGTTAGTCAATCAAAAATCAATAAATTAATAGAGCAAATTAGTACAGAAGCTAGGTATTCCGAGTATTTTAATTACAAATAATATTAAGTGTACAATATACATAATACTATTTTCCAATTAACATATTAAGTTTGATTGTGTGTTTTTAGATTATGAATTTCAATCAGCAGAACGCGTATGAAACACTCTCACCTAAATATTTTATAAGTACCTAAATAAATAGGAAATAGCTTAAAATTAATCTAAATATTTTACAAATAACATTGCGCAATGGTAAAATATAATAATATACGTACAAATTTCAAGTACCCTACGAATATTTTAAAACTACAATGAAATAACTAAAACCGTTATTATTCTTTGTTAAACTACCAATACAATTTCGTTAACATGTTGACATCTAATGGCCATAAAAAAAAATAACAAATTATGTTTAAAAAATTTGAATTTCAGTATAAACCCGGGTCTCACTGTCTCTAAAATGCCTAACGTGCATTTTAGTTGTAAAGAACCTCAAAATATTACCATATAACTATATAAGCCCACGTTAATTAGTAAAATTATTTAATATAATTTTTCTATTTACCTACCTATAGTTCATAAGGGCATGTCCCGTTTCCGCGAGCCAAAAAACTGGTTCCCTGATTTATTCATTATCCTTTTCCGCTAAAAACTAAAAGGTAAGATTCCCGTTTCACCAAAATTTATTTTTGTGAAAAGGCATTTCCGCCAATTATTATTTGGGAACAATGTACAAATGTAACATATTCTTATCATATGAAAATGTTCTTATCATTACATAATTGTATGTCACATACTCATTATATACTTAAATACTTGAATATTTCAAATTATAATACAAGTAATAACTATACTGTCTTAAAAATATAAATTATAATACAAGAAGATGATAATAATACATTAATCGAAAATAGGCACAATTAAATTAGAGTTTTAAAAAAATCATATATTCATTATTTTTAAATATTTAAAAATGTCACAAAAAATATAAATTATAATACAAGAAGATGATAATAATACATTAATCGAAAATAGGCACAATTAAATTAGAGTTTTAAAAAAATCATATATTCATTATTTTTAAATATTTAAAAATGTCACAAAAAATATAAATTATAATACTTCTTAGTATAGGGGTAAGAACGGTAAATTAGCTGTTTGATAAACAGAATAGATACTGAATA